AGATAGATAGATAGATAGATAGATAGATAGATAGATAGATAGATAGAGAAACAGAGAAAGAGGCCAGGATGGATGGATGGATGGATGTAGATAGATGGAGGAACAGATAGATTAGGGATAAATAGATGAATCAATAAATATGTAAGTTGATGGATAGGTAGGTAGATACGAGGGATAGATGGAGGGATGGAGGAATAGGTAAATATGTGGGTAGATGGATGGATGGACGGATAGATAGAGGATAGATAGATAATGATGATGGATGAATAGATGGAGACATGCGGATGAAGGGGTGGGTGCATATATAAATGAGATGATTTATGAATGATGGATGGATAGAAGAGATGGATGGTGGGAGGGAGGGAGGGAGGGACAGGCAGAAGGAGGGAGAGGCAGATAAACGGACAGGTAGATGGAGGGAGGGAGGGAGGGGGAGACAGGTGGACAGGCAGCCAATAGACAGAGGAAGCCTTCAGGATGGGCCCAGAGGGAGAGCCCCCCCCCCTTATTTTGCACCCCCCCCCCTCCCTTTTGGCAGGGGGGGGGTGGCAGGGAGACAGGGTCACTCAGAGGGTCTTGCCATCTCTCTCCCCACCCCTTTTTGGACGATAGACCTTCTGCCGCTGGCTGGAGAACTCCCTGAAGGGGTTGCCGAAGGAGACCACGGGGGGAGCCGTTCAGGTGACCCACAAGCAGCTGACCGACTTCCACAAGCAAGTCACCAGGTCAGGGGGGGGGCTTGGGGATGGGTGGGGGTGGGTGGGCAGCCTTGAGAGCCGCCGGCTCCCCGCCAGGGGGCCGCGGGGTTTCTTTGGGGCCCCCCCCCCCCCCCCCCCCCCCCAAAGTGAAAATTATTCCGTGAACATAAAACAGATTTTTGGAGGATGGAAAAATAAATAAATAAATCCCATGGCCACCACGCAGCTAGTCCTCGAGTTACGGCCACAAATTGCAATCAAAATTTCTGGGTAAAATTTTGGGCCAGTCACCAGGTGACGGGGAGTTCTAGTCCCGCCTTAGGCCGGAAAGCCGACTGGGTGACTTTGGGCCAATCACCAGGAGATTGGGAGTTCTAGTCCCGCCTTAGGCCTGAAAGCCGACTGGGTGACTTTGGGCCAATCACCAGGAGATTGGGAGTTCTAGTCCCACCTTAGGCCTGAAAGCCAACTGGGTGTCCTTGGGCCTCTCTCTCTTGGCCCATCCCACCTCACAGGGTCGTCGCGTGGGGGAAAGAGACACAAGGAGCATTGTGCGTGCTTGCCATCTTGAGTTATTTGTAAGTGGGTTACAAACACACAAAGAATCAAGAAAAATTAAACCAAAAGAAGACACCGAATATTATCAAACACGGAACTTATTTTACCCGACTGCTGTAGTGGCCTAAGAGCTGGAGCTCTCGCCTCACAATCAGGAGGCTGTGGGTTCAGTCCTAGGTAGAGGCAGATATTTCCTCTCTCTGGGCACAATGAGAATATATTTGCTGAAGAAAACTCCACCCTGGGGATGGGAAGAGCATCCAGCCAGTAAACAACTCCATTCAGTTGCCCAGCCTCCACCCGGCGAAGGATTATGAGGTCATTTAAAGATGATGATGATGATGGAATTTATTTTACCAGTGGTTGGAAATAAAGGGGTGGAGAGTAAGAATGGAACCTCTATTGCTAAGCAAATTAAAATACCCAGACAACACAATGTTTGTTCATGCAATGAGCAGAAAATCAATACATTTAAAAAAAATAAATCCCTAAATAAGAAGGGAGACCCATTTTCACAGCCGTCTTCTTCCCCCTGGCAAACTATGTCAGGGTGCAGATCCTGGGGTTCAGCCAACCTCTGCTGGCATCCTACACCCCACCCCCCGCGCTCCCCACAACTTGCTAGTCTGGTTTTTCCAAAACCTGCTTGCACCTGTTGTGTTCTGGAGCCTCGCTGTGCCACTCAGAAGTTATTGCTGGTCCCACACAAACCAGTTCAGGCAAGCCCACGCCTGCCATTCGGCCTCTGGATGGCCGCCTTTGGTTCTCAGGCCTCCCGCCCCACGAGGCCATGCCAGCACCTGGTGGCCTTCCTTTTTCTCCCCCGGCAGATTTCAGGGGCAGGTCCAGTCTCTTCTGACCTAGGCTTCCCCAAACAGCACGAATAAAACCCCTTTTTTATTTAATTTACAGTGAATTCCTCTCCAGCAAAGTCCCAAGAGATTGCACAATTCTAGAACTTCATCAGGCTGGGAGAGTCGCCAGGCCGATAGCTTTCCAACGCCAGGTTGTAGCAGCAATTGACTTGGCGAGAAGTCAGGAACGGATCTTCCCCCTACTTAAACGAACTAACTGTCTCCTTCAAACCTCACTCCCCTTTCGCTCCTCTTTATGGGAGGGGCAAAAGGTAGTCCTTGACTTGCAGCCGCGTTCGTTCAGCGGCCGTTCAAAGTTACAACGGCGCTGAAAAAAAGCTGCTTCTTGTGACTTTGACCCCAACCCACCCCGAATTCCTCAGCTAGTTATCTCCCTCAGCGTAGCTGGCTGGGGGAATTCTGGGAGCTGAAGTCTGCAGGTCTTAAAAAGTGCCCGAATGTGGATGGCAACTCTAAAAAGAAAAAAAAAATAGTTTTTCAGAGATAGTAACTTAGGTGACCGAAGTTTCTGCCGTGCAAAATTCTAACTGGAGAGCTTGACTGGGGACTCTGGGCTATGGACGTGTCCCATTGGAGGATATGAATTAGGATACACCCAGGCGGTGGAGGGGAAAGCCAGGGTCAGAGGTGACAAGGAATGATGTGGCTCTGAGTCAGCTGCACCCAGGCAGTGCCGGACATGTTTACTGTGATGACCCAAAGGGGC